GGGGAGAGAACTGCTAAATTGGCAAGCACAAATATTCCAGGAATTTGGGCCCTTGCAATGTGACAAAAATTGAGTCAAGATTCCAGACAATAGGAAGTAAGACTGAAGATGGCCTTGACCAAGGCCCATTAAGACTTATCAGCCTCGAGGAAAGTAGATTATAAATGTGATATTCCAGCCCAGGCCTCGTTTGAGAGGCGCCTCTACTAGTAAGCTGACGGGAGGCTGGCCTGAGAGGGAAGCAGATCAATTCCTGCCCCCCCCCCAGTCCTCAGTGTACCTGCTGCTCTGGCGGGAAGCCCTTCCTCTCCCAGGAGCCTGCTGTTCTGAGCTCTGGAGCCCCGCAGCCCGGTGCAGGGCTTGGAAACCGTACCTTGAGCAACACAACTTTCATCCAATAGTCAGCAAGGCTTCCTCTGCCCTGTTCGGCTGCCATCCTGGTTATTCCCCCCTCTAACCCAGGTTGCTGCTGTTCCCTGCTTGTGGAGATTCCAGCTGAAGGTCGTGCTAGGGTTGAGAGTGGGAAGCAGGGTCGGGGTGGGGTGAGGGTAGTGTGTGGGGTGGGGGGACTGACATCCCCGAGGAGCCCTCTGGGCCCCTCCCCTCCCTGGTCAGAGGCTCTGGCTCCCAGGATCCCCTGGGAGGGAGGCCGCCTGGGTCCCTCAACCTGGCGAGTGGCAGCATCTCTGTGCATAGTCAGCCACCATGAAATCAGACCTCATCTCAGCTCTGGACATTTCACTGTAATGGTTTTCTTCGCAATCCTCACCCGAGGACATGCTTTTATCAATTTGAGAGAGAGTGGAAGGGAGGGGAGAGAGACAGAGAGAGAGAGAGAGAGAGAGAGAGAGAGAGAGAGAGAGAAACACAGGTGAGAGTGAAACACCCACATGCACCCTGACTGGGGATCAAACCCGAAACCTGGGCATGTGCCCTGACTAGGAATTGAACCGGTTCAACCTTTTGGTGCTCGGGACAACGGTCCAACCGAGCCACCCGGCTGGGGCTGATTTTCAATATAAGACGAAACTAAAATGTGTGAGCAGGGGAGAAATCCAATTAAGAGAAAGCGATTTGTGACACGAGCCAAATAAGTCAACCTAACATCCAATTTGTAAATTTAGGAACTGTCCTCCAGGCCTTAAGACTACTTCTTGGAGACAGAGTTGCTCCTTAGGCTTGCTTTTTTTTTTGAGAGAAACATCGATCAGTTGCTTCCCACACGCCCACAAGTGGGGATCAAACCCACAACTTTTTGGCATTTGGGATGATGCTCCAACCAACTGAGCCCCACCCGCCAGGGCTTATGCTTCTTTCAAGTCCAGGCTTAATGTGACTTCTGAGTTCTCACCTAGACACTTCCCACCAGCCACCCTCTCCTGCTGCCCATCTCCTTACCTGGAGGTGTCTCTGTCTGGTGTCCCTCTCTGTGAGCCCTGCCCCTTGGTGGCACCCAGCCTCACACCCACCTTAGTGCCCCTCCCCACGGGGACCCTCCAGCTCCACTCCCTCGGCAGGTCCGGGGTCAGCAGCAAGGCCCAGGGCTGAGGACACAGGGCTCCTGGAGTGACAGCTGTCCAGGCAACACCTGCCAGGTGAGGGAGGTCCCCACACAGGCTGAGTGTTCGTTTCCGGGAAGGATCCAGCTGGGTTGGCTCCAGGCTGCGTCTGCAAAGTTGCAAAGCTCCCTCTGGGCAGCCATGAGGGGAAAACTGCCTGGGTGACAGAGAGTAGACCCCTCCTCTGGAGGCCCGGGCAGGAGGAGGTAGATTTTGGAGACTGAAGGAAGTTAACGACTCAGTGGAGGGTGACTGCTGTGGAGCGGCTGTGAGGGGTCAGGGGCCACAGTGCATCCGGGTGGCCATGGGGAACAGAAGTGTGGGACATACTGGGAAATGTCCAGATGTTCTGGCCGCCAACCCTACTTGTTTGGCAAAATCTGTTAGGAAAATGACCCATATTCCAAAGAAAAGTGACCTAAATCTAAAAGCCAGAGGACTAGGGGACACATGGGACCCAGCTTCCAACCTTTATTTCTGAGAAAAAAGGTATTTTTTAAAAAATTAGGACTAACTTTAAGGCCTTAGATTCAAATATATTATTCACACTGTTACATGTCAAACAGAAATGAGGTAATCAATCAGCTTATTAGGTGTGAAACGATTTTCACAAGACTTTACAGAAAAAGAACTCATGTTACACCCCCTGCGTGCGAGCTGATGAAAGGCTACCACACTGACGCCCCTCAGTCCGTGATGTGGCAGTCCCACCGGGCCCTTCCCTTCCGTGGTCGTTGCCGGCAGTGGTGGGCAGTCCTACATGGCCCCACACTGCTGCCAGGCCCAGGGACCCTGCGTGGCCACAGAGCCCTCCCTGGAAGTGCAGCATGTGTCGGGGTTGGACAGTTTTTATTTATTTTCACATTTACAGACTCAGGCAGCCCCTTTGAGAAAGGGAAGGTGGAGGCTGCCTGGAAGAAAAGCTGGGCTCACGGGCACGTGGGGATCTCACAGGGAGATGGTCCTGGATCTCAAGGGCCCTTGGTGTCAGCAGGCATCTGACATGGTGGCTGCCTCGGCCCAGGATTTTATTGCTGGTGAACCTCACTGTCCAATGCAGAGACTGGGATAGCGGCACTAACAGAAACAGGTCCAGTGGGGAGCACTTTGCTGATGAAACTGAACCATGTAAACTGAACTGACTGCAACTCGGAGCCCTGCTGGCCTTCAGCCCAGGGGAGGGCCCAGAGGAGACAGGAAGGGAGGCCCCGCTGCCCACTCAGGTGGGACAAAGACAAGACAGAGACAATCAGGATGGGCACGCCCATGCCCTCAGCACCCTGGGATCCAGAACCTCCAGCGCTTCCTTTTCTGGTTCCACATTCCCTTTGAGGCCCTCAAAGACATTCACTTTCTCAGGTAGAAAAAATGCACACTCCACTCCCCTCACTTTCCAAAACTGTATGTCTTGGGCTGAATGAGATGATCACTTAGCAGGCAGAGGATCAGCAATACGGACTGGAGGTACACATACACAGGCACGTATTCTCAAAGGTCAGACTGCCCGAAAGTGCCCTTGGGTTACCCCGAAATCTCACAGGAATGAGACAGTCATGGAAAGAATGGTTTACCTCTGTGATTATAGCAGCGTTGAGATGAGAGCCAGAGGTGAAGTTATATTACGCAGACTTGGCCCTGTACTAGCCCCTGCAGTTTCTGCACACCATCAGCTTCTCAGGCCTCCTAAAGTGCTGGGTGCCATTCCTGCAACCCTTCGGTAGCAGGCACGACCACCCCACAATCTAGGGGAGCTGCAAGCATGCCCACCTCCTCAACAACTGAGGGAAATGACTCCGAGTGTGTGTAACGTTTCCTCCTGGCCTGTAAGTTCATTCTCCTTCTAAGGATCTCCTAAGGAGAGCAAGGACCTCATGGCATTGGTAGGGGTGGGGGTCCTCAGTGCACCTGATGTTTAAACTAAACCATAACAGTCGGGGTGCAACTTCACCGGCCGAGGCGCACATGGGCCCATTGGGTGCCTGCGGGAGGCTTCAGGAGTGTGATGGAAGGAGTGTCACTTCCATGCTCTGTCTCCGCCTGCTTAGCCTCTGGTCTAACAAAGGTATCTGAAGTCACAGTCCTCCATGTTAGTTTAGCAAAAAATCTGGCTTCTGATACCCAAAGAGCTTAAAGTCCCCTTCGAAACGGGCATACAGGCGCCGGATGTCACGTTTGCTGATGCCCAGGAAGTAGTGTTCCACCTTGGTTTTGTTATACACGGTGATGCCTGGAGGGATGGTGGGGTATGACACCAGGTGGTCTATGCCCGCCTCTTTTAAGATGTATGGGGCGTCATCCTCCAGGGTCTCGTGGTGGCCAATCACACTGTATGCTATCTCACAGGGCGCACACAGTTCTACGTACGTCACCCAGTGAATGATGTGGTCCCCAAACTGGAGGTCCAGCCACCTGTGGTTTGGATCGCCCAGGTAGCGCACAAAATCTTCAAACTGGATGCCGCGGGTCTCCGTGCGGTTCCTCCTGTATTTCCTGATGATGCCGGGGGCAATCTCGTGTCTGTACCACGGTTCAAAGCGGGGATTGTGCACGAACTTGTCCTTAAAAGCAGATATCAGTCTTTCGAAGGGATCTCTTACAATAAAAAACTTGAAGTAGGTTTTCAAGCTAAGGAAAAAAATGAAGATAAACAAGAAGGTTAGCTGATTGATGCTGGTGGTGGTGACACCTGTGAGGGTGGGAAGAGGTAACAGCTGGAGCGGCAGCCGCCAACATTTCTTGAACCCTCACCTGGGTGAGCCCTGAGGTGAGTGCATCACATGCGTCTCAATCCACTCAAACACCACGGAAGGCAAATCCTGCTCGTTAGTACCCATTTCACAGGTGAGGAAATGGAGGCTCAGAAACTAATTGTCCAGGGCGACAGTACTCACCCTCGGGGGCCACTGTGAAAACATCTACTTAACCCATGTTTTGTTTTACTTGAGTATTTCAAAACTTTAAGAATGCTTAAAAGTTTTGTTTCTGGGCAGAAAATCCTAAGGACAGGAACTCTGAATAAGCTAGGAACAGCCGAGGCCAAAGAAAGTTACTTTATATCTTTAAAGATTCAATTCAAGATTGCCAGGGGAAGGAAAAATAAGAGGGGTGGTTGTAAAGAAGATGGAGAGCGAGGCTTCTGGCTCCAGCAGGCTGGAAAGTTGGCCTGGGAGACCTGCGGGAGTGGCAGTGGTGGTGCCAGGGTCCCAGTGAGATGGTGACGACAGCTGAGGCCCATGCTGTTACTGCAGCGGCTTACTCCATGCCAGAAACTGCTCAGTGCTCCACACCTTTTAGACATTTCCTCTCAGAGGAGCCCCTGGATGGCATAGGATGGCCCTGACCCAGCTCTCGGCTCTGGCACTGAGCACCTGAATTCTGAAGGGTTTGAACAAGGTGGGAAGACTGTGCAACTGGGGCTGGAAGCAATGCAAAGAAGGTGCTGACGAGCCAGAGAGCAAAGTTCCGGTGGCCGCTAACATTCTTACTCCTTGTAAACTCTGTTCTATGGGGCCATTTCACAGCTAGTAAAGAGAACTTCTCAATTTATAGCTAAGTAATATAATATTTTTTCGGTTAATCCTCACCTGAGGATATATTTTCTCCACTGATGTTTAGAGAGAGTGGAAGGGAGGGAGGGAAGGAGAGGAAGAGGGAGGGAGGGAGGGAAAGAGAGAGAGACACGTCAATTGGTTGCCTCCCGCACGTGCCCTGACCAGGGGCAGGGGACAAACCGCAACCCAGGTACGTGCCCTTGACCAGGAATGGAACCCATGACCTTTCTGTGACTGGGCCGATGCTCTAACCACTGAGCAACACCAGCCAGGGCTATAGCCGAGTAATTTTTAAGTGCCAGTATCCATCCTGCTGTGATTGCTGGAGTCTGTCTCCGCTGTGCTAGGTCCCGTCCACACCCCTCCTCCCGGGGCAGCTACCCTGGAAGCAGGCACAGCGTCTTCGGGGAAAAATGAAAAACTAAGTGGGGTTTCCCTACAACTGAAACCCCTTTGCTAGGAAATAACAATCACATTCAGTAAGGAGTCCACAGACCTTAACACAACCAACACAGAACAAAAGGACCACGCGTTTCTACTGGGAAAACGACACACTTCATCTGAATGGGCGAGGAGTCGTTCCAAAATCCGCACCAAGATTTCGGAATTTAAACACACTGAATGCTGGGCATGTGCTCAGCTGCCTCTCACCAAGGCAAACCAACAGCCCCCAGGAGGCCTTGGCGTAGTTTGGGACACAGGGCAAGTGCAGAACCGAGCCTGGGGTTGTATCGAAATGCCCCTCCCCGCAGGAGCCTGTTCCTACCGCTTCTGGATTTCTGCTTCGCTGAAGGAGGAGAGACGAGGAAGGCCGTTCTTTTCATGGTCGTGAACCACGTTCTCAGGGATGTCCTCGATGGAAGGAAAGGCTCCTGGGAAGTAAACAGGGAGAGGTTGTGTTGGCCACCTCGGTGCTACCTTCAAAGATGCCGTCTCTTAACTGGGCCCATGTTCCCTGCAACCCATCCCCAATATCCATGGTGAGACCTTTGAATTCCAACTAAGACAAATTATACGTGGCAAGATGAGAGGGAAGAGAAGCTTTTGGTCACCAATAAGCCAACCAGAGGAAACAGAAGAGTTAGGAGGAGGGCGAGGAAGTGAGCAAGGGGAGGAAAGGACAGGACACCTACCCTGGCAGTGCACTGGAGTGGGGTTAAATCCGCTGTGACAGACGGATCGCTGCCTGCAAACAGAATGCCTAAGACCACCCACACTGACTCTACTGTGAAACTGGGGGACGTGCCAGGACAGCAGGGCTGTGAAACACCTGCTGACCTACACCCACAGCACTGTCACAAGCCTGTCACCCCCAGCAGGCAAGGTGCTCCCAGGACCACACCCCTGGGCCTAAGGCGGTTCCTAGGTAACCTCACTGCGTGCCAGATGGGCAAGTGGCAGAGATGTCTGCCAGGTCAAGGAGGACAAGGAGTGACTAAGAAAACGGAAGGGTCAAGGGCCACAGTGCTGGAGGCAGGCTGATGAATGCAACCTGGGGGGAGGGGGTTGTCCTTGGGTTGGTGCGTTGGGCAGGTTTTTCATTCTTTTCTCAGCTTAGACAAATGGAAATAAAGTGTCATTACCCAACCTTTTAGCCAAGTCTCTGCAGACCTTTACATCCATCTCTGTGTTCATCCTGTCATGTTGAACTTGGAGTCTGCCATCTAAGCAGTGGCCACAGCCTTGTCTGCTTTACTCATGCTCCCCCCAGTGTTTAAGCACCAGTCCAGAACTCTCTGTTAACTGCTGTGGATGGTCTAAAATGGGCAAGACTGTAAAATGAACCAACCTGTGGATCTGCACATGGACCTGCTCAGGTACCTGGCTCCATCCAGGTGCATCCAGGGCCAGCGGAAGACAGCCACCGGACCACCTGTTTTGCTATTACAGGCATATCTTGTTTCATTGCGCTTAGTTTTATTACACTTTGCAGATGCTTTTTTACAAACTGAATTTTCACAAATTGAAGGCAAGACTCTCCACCAGCAAAGGCTTATGACTCACTTTACTGCAGTACTTACTTTATTGTGGTGGTGTGGGACGGAACCTGCAGTACCGCTGGGCTGTGCCTATATATGACCTGGCAAACCCGCTCCTGTTTTTGTCCTGCCCTTCACTGATGCTTCATACTGTGGTGGCAGATGTGTAAGAATCATATATTCATTGTTTTAAATTTTATTTGTAACCTCATTATATTATATACAAAATCCAACATGCTGCCAGATTACTCAAGCATGTTCATTATATGCCAGAAAACGAGGAAAGCATCTCTTTTCTCCCCCAAGTAACCAGTGAAAAGGCCAATGGCAGCAAACTCTGATGCCTGACTGAGAACATAGCTGCAATCGGGGCTGGAGGACACAGACCCGGGGCCACCGCCCACAGGGCTCCCAGGTAAGATTCTGCATCCAGAGTCACACTGCTGTCAGCTGGAACTGTGCTCCTCCTACAGCTGAATTTAACACAGAGCCCGTAAGTACCTTATCAGTGCAAAGTAAGTGGATTTTAAACTAATAAACATGGTGTTTGAAAAAAGCAGCAAATAATAAAAAACCTGTAGTGTATGAGGTCACTTGTCAATGACCTGATTTGTTCCCAAGAAATCAGATTTCCTGAAGCAAGTCAGTTAAATCATCTGCATATGGGTGCTTGATGTAAAACGAGGACCATTTCTTTCTACCCACATGGCACATAATACTTTGCCCATGGGTGAAGAGGCCCCCAGTGCGACTGGCAGGGTTCACAGGAAGGGCAGTTGTGGGGGCAGCTTCCTGGTGGCTCAGTGAACGTGGGCCTTGACTTATGAGGACAGAGCCAGCGCCTAGAAAGAACCAATGCTATGAATCTGGAGAGAAGTAGCAGGACCCACTAGGTGGGCAGGCTGCCTGAGGTGGAGACCCTGCTCTGCTGTGGAAAGTAAGGAGATCATGGCCTCAGGGGTGGCCTCAGGGGCTCTTTGAAAACAATTAGTATCTAAATGAACCACACCAACTTTTAAAGTACAAAAACACAACAGAGAACTGTCTGAAACTTACCAGCTCCTCTTAGGAGACGTCCCTCCATGTGGCTCCTCTCTGCCCCCTTCTCTACCTCCCCCCGTCAGGTCCCAGGGCCCTCCCAGGGCAAACCCCGATGTCACCGAAGGGGGACATGCAACAGGCAGGGCACGCACCGTTCAACACAATCAGCACTTTCTTCCACTGCGTATTGCCCACTTTGGGGGTCTGGCAGAAGAGGATCTTGTGCTTGTCACAGACAAATATTCGGTCCAGGACAAACTTGGACACCGCAGTGTGTGAGAGGTTCTTCAGGGCCTCATCCCTACAGACGTTTCGGATGAGCTCCAGGCGCTCCATATAGACCAGGGGCTGAACAATCTGGCCGTCTGAAAGCATTTTCCCGGTTGGCTGTGAGTGACAGGGAGGCAAAAGGGCACGAGGGCTTCATTCGCAGAAGACAGGATGGCCCCTGGAGCCCTGCGCCTTGGCCTGGTGCTGAGTGTGCACTGGAGGAGAAGCTGCCATCAGACATAAGCAGGGCCGTGTGTGTGTGTGTGTGTGTGTGTGTGTGTGTGTGTGTACTGGCGGAGAAGCTGCCATCAGACACAAGCAGGGCCGTGTGTGTGTGTGTGTGTACTGGCGGAGAGAGAGAGAGAGAGAGAGAGAGAGAGAGAGAGAGAGAAAGAGAGAGAGAGAGAGCCCTGTGCCTGTGGCAGCCTGTTTCTCCAGGCTCACTCCTTTGGCCGCTTCTAGCTACAGTCCTGTTCCTCAGCATTTTCAAATGTTTCTGCTGCCGCATCTAATTATTCCCTTAAAGTTACAAAGAATTTCTCCCCAAGATTTCAAAGCAGATGGTCCTTCTAAATTAACTTTATTAAATGGACCAAAATGCCCTTATTGTAGCTGTTAAAATGTTATGGGCTCACCACGCAGCCAAGCAATTCATTTATCGGGCAGTTGTAACAACCTGTCCTCCCCAAGGAACTGGGTCAGTAACAAAACAGGAGGACATAAGCCCCCGAGAACAAGGACACCGGAAATTTTGGGACAATACAGGCTCTACCCCACCACCCCGCTCTCTGCTCTTCCTTCATGGATCTACAACAACCAAACTCCCTGGCATGCACGACCTTTTTCAGAATACCCTTGCTCCCTGCTGTCTGACTGAATTTCCTGGGTTTCCCTGGTGGAGGGAAGGATGTCTTAGGGCTTCCTACCACTCCTTCCCAAGGTGAAGACACTGAGGAAGTGAGAGAGCACCTGCAGACCTGCCCCCTCTGCTCCTCTGCAGAGCGACCTCTGTTCCTCCCCAAGCACAGCCGGCTGCCTGGCCTTGCACATGTCCAAGGATGGGCACCAACCACCGGCTTCCTGCTTTTATAAATGGGGTCTAATTTAACTTCATTCCCTCATGGATCCCCACTCTGGCTCACTTATCCAGAGTCTCTCTCTTCTCAGTCTGTCCCAATGTTTTAACCTCAGATCTAATCCTGATCACAGATGCCACTAAAGTGCAGTGCATCATGGGGCAGCACCTCCACAAAAGTTATATTGAGAAACTGCAGAAAAACCTGTCCCTTCTGAACTTGCTTTTTTTCAAGCTTAAGCATTATAAACAAAAAATGGCTCTCACCTTCTATATTTTCCTTGCGAATATACAAAACCAATTTCAATGTCTGATAGTATTTTCTACTATCTTCCATTCACATTCAGCTACATTATATACAAAATAAATTTTTAAAGGTAAGCTCTACAACCCGATCTCCTTCATAAATCACCTTTCTTTGGGGAAGACATGCTGAGCTTAACATCGCCTGAGGAGTCTTGGTCTCAGAGAACGTCTGACCCCTGTTCCCCATTTCCTGCTCTTCACGTCTGATTTCTGAGAATCCACAGGATGGGGTAGGAGAAGGGCACAGAGAACAGAGTGGAAGTCCAGGTCCACTACTTGCTGTTCCTGACATATTCAAACACAGTAACCAGTAAGGCATGGTTTGGTGTAGTGTTTTCAACCACAGTGACTCCCACAGGCCAATTCTGTATAGAAAAGTGGTCCCTCATCCCCTGTCTTCTTCACAGGGCTGCAGGATTCTGGCATGCCCTTGTCTCAAAGCACTTTATTCCTTTTGCAAAATTCTCACCTTGCCTTTGGGTCCTTATTGATCCAAGTCACTACACATCAATTTCCTTAACTCTTCCTATTAAAGCCACCCTATTTTCTATAGGCTTGTTTCTTGTTGCTATAGTCCACCCACACCTTCCTTGCCCTGAAACACCTCAGGCAGAAAGCAACATTCCAGGCCCACCTGACGAGAGTTCTGCAGGCCTGATCTTTACTGCACCCACGTCCTGTGGCCAGTTAACTCCAACAGATGGTCACTCTGGCCAGGTGCAGGCTTTCTGGACCCTGGGGGCTCTAATCCCTCGTCCTTACACTGTAAGTCACGGGCAGGAACTGTCCCTTCTCTGTGGTTTAATTCTGGGCTGATACACGTTTAGAGCTTGTTCTACCCATTTCATTCCTTCCAGCATAACCTAAACCTTCCAGACCCAGAATGGGGGTCAGCAAGTGAGAAGGGAGCTCAGAGGGCATCCCTCACTGCGGCTGAGGCATGACCAGGAATTTATGTGTAAAAGGAGCCTGAGGAGAAAGACTTAGATCAGAATGTCAATGTGATTCTGGATGATCAGCCTTTTCCCTAAACTCAGTTCTCATCTACACTACTCCCAGGCCGGATTACCTGGTCTTCTGTCCAAGACCCTTCTAACGCTAAAATTCCTGATAATGGATCAGAGCCCATTCCCCCACAGCCCTGGTTTTCTCCTGATCTTGCCCAACATCCTCCATCCCCTGGCCAGGCTCACTGTGAGCTGGTCAGGAATTTGGCACCATTGGCATTTATAGAGCACCCATGATGTGCAAAGCACTGTGAGGAACATAAATAGATGGGACTGTGTCTCTTCCAAAGAGATGCAAAAAAGTGAGCAGGAAAGTGCCGAAGGGACAGAAACAGTGACTACACAGCAGAACATGAAGGGAAGTGGGAACAGCTGGCGAGCTCAGGGAGCGGGCAGGTTAGTGCCCCCCTAGTGGCAGAGGACCTGCTGGTGCTAGAGGGAGGTAGCAGTGAGAGGGAGACCCACAGGGAAGAGTGGGAAGAGGCCAGATGGGACAGTGCCTCTGCTGACCAGGCTGGATGGGACAGGGCCCTCTGCCCGGCTGTGCCCACCTTCAGTTCCTCAGGAAGCTGCTTCTCTCCCCGTAACTTCCCGGAATCGGGCACGGCTGTCAGGAACAGGAACTCCTGTTTGGCGCCGTAGGCTAGGAGACAGAGAGGTTAGAACCCTTCTCAGGGAGGAGCAGACACACTGATCAGGGTGGCAGGAATGAGGCCCCAGGAGTGCAGCTACACAAACATGCCCAACCGGTATGTGACAGGTGCAAAAGCAATTCGGTAGAGGGGGAAAGTCTTTTCAGCAAGCGGTACTCGAGCAATTGAACATCTACAGTCACATAAAACTATAAAACTTTCTTTAAAAACATAGGAGAAAATCTTTGGAAAAATTGATAAAATAAACCTCCTCAAAATAAAAACTTTTGCTTTGCACAGATCATGGAAAGGCAAGCTACAGACTGGGAGAAACTATCTGCAAACCATGTATCCGACAAAGGGGTTGTACCTGGAATACACAGAAAACTCTCAGAACTCAACAGTAAAAAAAAAAAAAATCCAATTAGAAAGTGGGTAAGACGTGAACAGATGTTTCACCGAAGAGGATACACAGGTGGCAAATAAACACAGGAAAGGGTGTTCAACATCTTGAGCTATCAGGCAAATACAAACTAAAACCACAGCGAATTGGTACAGGGTGGGGCAAAAGTAGGTTTACAGTTGTGAGTAACCAAAACAGTTTATTCTTGTATTATTACTTATTGTATTATTTTCCATGTGAACAGCTGTAAACCTACTTTTGCCCCACCCTGGAGAGACAGAATAGTCACAGGGATGTGCAGTCAACAACACTGTAGTAACTGCGTATGGTGTCAGAGGGCTACTAGATTGATCAGGGTGATCACTTCGTAAGTTATATACGTGTCTAATCATGGGGTTGTATACCTGAAACTCATATAATATTGTAGGTCATCTATAATTTTAAAAAAAACAACTCAAGGCAACACACAGTGAGATACCACTACGCACCTATCAAAATGGCTAAAATACAAAATAGTGGAACTATACAATGCTAGTGAGGACGCAGAGAAACTGAATCGCTCATACACTGCTGGCGGGAATGTAAACTGGTACAACTCTGGAAAGTAGGTGGGTTGTTTCTTTAAAAAGTAAACACGCAGCTACCATACGACGCAGCAATTACACTCCCCGGCATTTATCCCAGAGAAATGGGAATTTATGTTCACACAGAACCCTGTACACAAGTCTTTGTAGCAGCTTCATTTATAATAGCCCCCAAATTGGAAACAATCCAGGTGTCCTCCAACAGGTTAAACAAATGGAAACATCCATCTTGGAACACAGCAATAAAAAAGCAACAAAGTACTGATACAAGTTGAAGGAATCCCCAGGGATTTTTTTTTTTTATGCTGAGTAATAAAAGGCAATCCTATCACACAATGGATATAATATTCTTTTTCTCATTTCATTTTTTAAAAATTAAAAAAAGATTTTCAATTATAGTTGACATTCAATATTATACTAGTTTCAGGTGTGTAGCAAAGTGTTTAGATATTCACATACCTTACGTATGATTCCCCTGATAAGTCTAGTACCTCCCTGGCACCATACGTAGTAATTACAGTATTACTGACTATACTCTCTACTCTGTCCTTCACATCGCCGTGATTATTCTGTAACTGCCAATTTGTACTTCTTAATCCCGTCACCTTTTTCACCCAGTCCCCCAAACCTCTCCCATTATAATATTCTTGAAATGACAAAATGATGGAGAGGGGAAGAGATTAGTGGTTACCTGGGGAGAGGGAAAGGGGAGGAGGAAAGGGGAGGAGGAGTGGGTGTGGCTATAAAGGGCAAAAGGAGAGAGTACTGTGGTGAGGAAGGTGTTCTGCACCTGACTTTGACTGTGTTAATGTCAAAATCCTGCTCATGATTCTCCAGTGTCGTTCTGCAAGATGTGACCACTGGGGGAAACTGAGTCAAGGGGCATAGAACTCAATCTTTTATTTGTTACAACTGCATGTGACTCTCTAATGATCCCCAAATAAGAAGTTTAATTTTTAAAAACTCAAGTTAGCAGTCAGGTTAGTGCGTAAGCATTAATTTAAAAATTCATCGAAACTGGGATGAGACCAGAGAAATCTTACAAAACGCTAGTCCAGAGTAATAATTTATACTAAACTGATTTTTGGAAAACCTTTGGAGTAAAATTTGAAGATAATTTTCAGATCTCTCTAATCAAACATTTTACTTTTAAAAATTTTGTAAACACTAATACATAACTAGAAAAAAAGAGAGAGCAAATAAAAGTATAAAAACCGGCATAACAAAGCATGGACAAAGGCACAGTTCACTTTAAAAAAAAAAAAATCAAAACCTCTTCCCTTAGGCGATTAACACCAACACTGCACACACTACTGCAGCTCCACCTGCCCCGGCTCCCGTGCCCTCCCCGGCCGGCACCGACAGGAGGAGGCACCTGCAGCCGATGCCGCCCCTGCGCAGGAAGGCTGAGGACATGGCAGCAATGCCAACTACAGCAAGCCCCTCTCCCACGGCTTCCTATCTGACTCCAACTGAAACCTCTCTGCCGCGTGCCTTTACGAATCCCACTAAAATCTTTTCCTCTGTTTTCTAGGTTTGGATTAAAATACAACCGAACCAAAGCTGTGCACAGGAGCTGTTCTGGATCTGCAATAGGGACAAAGTGTTATGTTTATGGTGCAAAACTAGACAAAGGCATCAGTGCCATCAGCCCAAAGCTGCTGGATGGGCGCTGAGACCAAAGTCCATCCATCCTCCTGTGCAACCTCATCACCTTTGCGCACTAACGAGCTAGTAAAAGGTCACATTCCCTCCTGTCTGGTGACTTCCTGTTCCCACAGCATCTTCTACTACTAGCACTGCAATGCTTGGCTAGTTCAACACTTAGTTCAGCGGGTTTCATAGAAATCTAAGCTTCCTTAATAACATTTTAAATAGAACTATGTATCCTGAATTCTAAACAACTGACCTATCAATAAATTTCTGGAAAGCAGCCTATTTCATACGCTCAGAAGCATATAGAATAGGCTTTGGCAGCTGTGGAACATCTCACATACTGGCCACTCATCTGCCAATTTTTAACATTTTTATGATTTTAAACTTCCTGGTAGTTCTCCCAAGCTTCTCTTGGCCTGACTCAATGAGACTGAAATGAAACTGATAGTACAATTTATGTTTGGTTTGATTTTTCCAGTGCTTTGCCAACAGCCACTTATTTTCAGTAGATGCCATTATCCCCACTATGACCAAATAGTAGTTCCTTTCCCCACCTGACCCTCAGGAACAAGACTCCAGCTGCAAGACCAAGGATTCTGATCCTCCAGCTACAGCCAGGTGCCTTCATAACGTATTAGCTCACTTTTGTTATAGGCCTCATTATACTTAGAGTGTTTTACAAAATGTCTTTAAATTTGCCAAGTGACATACTTCTTTGTTTTTCTAGAAGGGATCACATCCATCTTCCTGACCACACTGCGTCCAGTCACCCAGTGTCACCACTCCCAACACACACTGGGCAAAGAACATGCAAAGACATTAAGGTCATTGGCTCTGCCCTTAAGCGGCTTACAACCAAGCTGAGGGGCTAAGTGGAGGCAGAAGACTGCAAGAGGAACGCAAACAGAAGGGAGCAGAAAAATTGGTGTCTACACTTACCTATCAGATGCACAAGTCTCAACATCCCCCACCATGAAATTCCCCTCACTGAATGGGATCTATTTCCTATAATAAAGCTAGTTATGACACCCAATTCTAGTTCAACATGACACTGAAATTTGTTAACCAAGGATAAGTCATTGCCACAGATATCACTGTGGCTTCATTACTGAGCTGAAGAGAGACCATAACACTATTTAAAAAAGCACACAACAGCCCAGCCTGTGTGGCTCGGGGTTGACCCATGAACCAAGAGGTCACTGGTTTGATTTCCAGTCAGGGCACATGCCCAGGTTTCAGGCTCAATCCCCAGTAGGGGGCATGCAGGAGGCGGCTGATCAATATGATTTTCTCTCAACGATGTTTTTATCTCTCTATCCCTCTCTCTTCCTCTCTCTCTAAAGAACAATAAAAACCTATTTAAAAACAACAACAACAAAAACCCAACAAGGTAAGCATTGCTTTAAACAGTAGTTCAGGACAAATCAGTTCTTCCTATGAACTTAACTAGTAGGGGAATCATTAGGAACAGGCAGGTGAGAAGAAAACACGCACATCCACTGAGGGATTCTGGAACAAAGCCCATTTTCCAGAGGACAGAGCCAGAGGAGCAGCCCCACAGACACTGAGTGACAAACAGATCCTCAATGCTAGAACCAAGGATTTGCTACCTGCGTTAAAGGAAGTGGACCCTCATCACACACGATGCTATTGTGTTGCCAGTTATTTCTGATGCACTGAAGGTGACCTTCAAACATGTGGCCACCAGTGTGCAGCACCAGCTGGCACTCAGGCATGCTGATCAATCACAGGAGTGTCTCATGACGACACCAAGCAGAACACATTCCCAGATCCTGACCCTGTGGGATGCCATGGAGGAGGCACCAAAAAAACCCACAAAGAAAGCATGCTCTGCCCACCCTCCAAGGGTGTTGCTGGGGAAGAACGTCTCTTCTCTTCCCACCCTTGCCCCTCTGTAATGTTAAGAATGTGGATGCCATGACCTCCACAGTTGCTTCTGGAATGAAAGTCCTTGGGTTCTGTGACAGAGGTCATCCATGCATGCACCCAGGAACAGTATCAGAGCAAGGTCTGGATTAGCCAAAATTCATTCCCCAAGGCAGCATACCTACCATCTGGGTCTTTAAAGGTCAATGTGATGAATTTGCTGGCCACCATGAACATGAAAATCACCCAAAAGCATGCGGCCAACAGAAGCCACTGGTGGTGCATGTTGTCAAATGTCAGCCATTCACTGATTCTTCCTGGAAAACAAGCGAAGTGCTCCTGCTGCTTACAAATACATCAATCAAACAAAGGTCAAAAGACAACAGGTAATTCCAGTTATTAGCAACAGTACAAATATTTTTAAAAACTTTTTCTTGATACAGTGGGTACTTTGACTCGATATTTAACTTAACATTTTATTTTTAATTAATAATAACTTCTCCATTTGATAATTAAGTCGAAGTTAAGATACTTGAATGGAAAGGAGCCATTTCTACCTGCTTTGGAATGTGTGATAAAATTTTACTTTTGCAGCCCTGGCCGGCGTGGCTCAGTGGTTAAAGTATCAGCCTGTGTATCAGAGGGTAGTGATTTTGATTCCCAGTCAAGGGCATGTACCTGGGCTGCAGGTCTGAAGCCTGCCCCTGGTCAGGCTGCGTGAGAGAGGCAGCCAGTCTATGTGTCTCTCTCACATCAATGTTTCTCTCTCCCCTTCCCCCTCCCTCCCACTCTCTCTGAAAATCAATGGGGAAAAAATATTCTCATTCCTTGGGTGAGAATTTTAAAAAATTTTTTTACTTTTGCAGATTTGCCTCTTGACTGCTTTCTGGACCAGACTAACATCAAAATGTTTCTAATTTCCTTTGCTAAGGGCCGCCATCTGCAGGAAGATGTGTAAAGTGTCGTGCAGAATAAGGGTGCTGGACACACCCATAGTCATGAACATCTCCCGTCAGGCAGACCTCGGCAGGCCAACCTGAAACTGCTCCTACGCCTCCAGCATCTCCCATGTGCCTCACCTCACTCTGCCTCTGAGGAGTTGCTTTGGGGTTCAAGATGGCCATCAATGCACCTCCTTGCACACACCCAGCACTTCCAGGATCAAAATGTTTCTCTTACCCAGCACCCGCCAGGGCCTGGAGGCAGGTGGACAACAGAAGTCCTGCCAAGGGCTAGGCCTTCGCAGAGGGCAGGGGCCATCTGGGCAATTACAGGCAGGCTGTTTACAACCCTGACTTGCTGAGGAGATGTTGCCAAACCTAGAGAATCTGTACACAGGAGAAACGAACATAGAAACTTCTCCTTCTCCATTCACTTGCCTGCAGGGGCCTGTGCAGAAACTGGGGGGTGGGTGTTTTTCATGCTTTCACTGCCCGGGAGAGATGCAGGTCACACAAGTCGCATGGTGCTGCAGGAGACATATAAAGAACCAGGAAGTCACAGTCAGTTCTCGGCAAGAGAGACAAAAATGCTTTTCATTTCACCTTTAACAGTGCTTCTTCAAGCCAAACCAAACCCCTTAAAGGAACAAGCCAAACCAAACGCCTTAAAGAGACCATGCTGGCTGGGCTGGTTTCTACCAGATGGCTGAGGCCATCCATCACTCCCGGCCAGCAGGGAGAACTGGTCCTCTCAGCATGTGCTGATGGCAAATGGCTTCAGAGAGCTTTTGAACTCGAGATGGGACAGAGCTCAGTGAGGACCCAGGGGATCAACTCTCCTCCTTGTCTCAAAATGTTTATTTCCTAGACTCTCACTGGAACCAGGCATCTGAAACCCAAATGCCCTCCACCAAGTGGTTACCTGGCCTTACCTGAACACGCCCCACAGCGGAAAGCTCACCACCTAACATGCAGCCTTTCTAGGGTGGCTTGTGCATCACCTGTCATCCTTAACTGCCCATACATTAGGCCCAGTGTGTTTCCTGGGGTCCCAAGTAGGGGACCAAATTAAACAGATGAAACAAATAAAAACGTAAGATACCCAATTAAGTCTCAATTTCAGAGGAACAACAAATAACCTTTTTAGTATAACTATGTCCCAAATATTGCATGGGACATACTTATACTAAAAAAAAACTATTTGCTATCCTCTGAATTTCAAATTTAACTCGGTGTCCTATATTTTATACAGCAACACTACCCAACAAGGGGAATGCCAGTTCCTCTCCACTGGCTGGAAGCCAGCTGGCCTGTCCAAGCCAAGTTCCCTTCTCCTCTGTCATCCTCTGAGGCAGCACTGCACAAGGCAAAGACCTGGATGGTTCCGCCACTCACTGGCTCTGCGACTTAGCAAGAGACTTGACCTCTCTGGGCCTTGATTTCCCATCTGAGATCAGGCCTTCCTTCCAGGGTGGTCATGGAGATTAAATGAGAAAATGTACATAATGTACCAGCACTCACCTATCCTGGGGCAGACCCTCTATGAACATAAACTGGTTGACGTCTCAGCACCTTTTCCAATTTAATCAACATATACCCTTCTAAGGGTGGTGGGTAGAAATTAATGTGCCAGGGTGGTCTGCCCCAAGGAGAAAAGAAAGGAAAGGCCTTCCCAGGCAACTGAGGCTACTAACCCTTCCCTTCTAAAGACAAATCATCCCAGATGACTCAAGCTACTAACCCTTCCCTTCTAAAGACAAGTGAGGCATACACTGTGCCAGGACACAGGGTACTGCAGTCCTGAGTCCACTAAACTTGTCCCTCCAAGACAGTGACACTCAGTGAGGTCCGTCCTCATCGGTCACAGTGGGAAACCCCAGCTATAGGCCTTTTCTAACAGAGGCAAAGGGGCCAGTGAGGGTTGGGGAGTGAGTACAGGGAAAGGAGACAGGAATTCAGCAGGTGGCATGCAACCTGAAGAGAGAGGTATCCACTCCTGCACACTAGTTCTCAGGAAGATTCAGAAGCGAGGAAAAAGGCATGGTGCTGAGTGGCCTGGAGCTTGCAATCCACACTTTGCTAAATGCTGAGGGCACTGAACACAGACAAGGGGACCTCTCACACACGCAGACACACTTCCATTGCAGAGCAGGAAGCACAAAGGCGCCTACACTGCCCACTCTCAGCTTCTTGCTCTGCTCATACCTGTATATCTCTGGGTTTCAGGCTCTGAGCACCCTTCTATCAGGCTCGCCCTTAGGAGGTTTTCATGGTTTGAATTTCCAACGGGAACTAGTTTTGAAGGGATATAATTTGAGTCCACCCACCAAGCTCACCTCTAGATGAAAGTAAGGAGATAATGAAATGAAGACCACAACATCTGCTCCCCAGGAAGCCAGTTCCTCTACAACTTATATCCTCCAATGTTTTCTTTCAGATGGGAATTTTATTTCAAAAAAAGTTCAATTTCTAAAGTGACTTTTGTTAAGATATCTAAAGCACCCTGTCCCCTTCCAAGCCCAGCCATGGCATCGGGGTTGGGAGAAGGAGGCTGCAAGGCTCCCAATCTTCCTTTGACCCCTCGTGACCCACCTGAACTGGGAAGGGAGGGTGCCCAGGACAAATGGGGACTCTGCTGAGGAGGTCTGGAAAGCTTCACATGCATAAGCTCTAGCCCCTGCCAAAAACCTTCTCTTGGGAATTAAAGCATACAGCCATAGATCCTGACCAGTGTCTTCAGTACAGCCACTCTGAACAGGCTGAGGCCTGGTAACAACCCCTATGCACTTCAGGAGGTCCCTTGGCAGGCCACAGAGCATGCACTCAGGCAGCCAGAGAGGGGGCACTCCCTCCCAGGCATTGGGCTTCTGTGAATTCGAGGTCAGAAGGGTCTGCACAGCAGAGGAAGATTCAGCTCGCCCATCACCACCCTACTGGCCTGCCCCAAAGCCTCTCTCCATCACCACACCTGGTTTTACTTCCTTCCCTGCACCTATTACAGTTTGAATGCTTTCCCTGGTTCACCATCTTCTTTCCCGGGTAGAATGTAAGCAAGGACTAGAACAATGCCAGGCACATGGTGAGTCAACCATCGTTATTTGCTGAATGATGACATCAACCACGAAACTTATTAGGAAGGATGTCAAGGTGGTGGCAGAGTAGGTGGAAGTTACAATCACCTCCTTCGAGGACCAAGCTGAAATTACAACTAAAATATACAGCAATCAAACTGAATAACCAACTGAAGACTAGCTGAAGAGGAGTCTTACAACCAAGGATTTACAGAAGAAGCCACATCGAGACTGGTAGGAAGGGTAGAGATGTGAAAAGGGCTGGCCCCGTTGTCATGGACAGTGGTTGAGAATCTGGAGCAATGTCTCAGCTGTAGGATGCTCCCCCTGAGAAGCATGGAGTCACAATGCCAAGCCAGGCTCCCCAGCCCAGAGCACCAGAGCCAGGAAAAGGCAACCACATAATATCTGGCTGTGAAAAGCAGCAGGGTTTCTGTCTGTCAGAAAGTGACAGGATTCCACAGGAGACACAGGTACCCTCTTAAAGGGCCAACACACAAATTTTCATTCACACCAACTTACCCTGGGCTTCGGTGGAGGGAGGGAGGAGCTGACTAGAGTCAGATGAGGAGAGTCTGGGGTTAGTGACTCTGGGAGGGAGCTGGGTAGACAGACACCAGGATCCCTGTGCTGAGTCATTCTTCCATACTGCAGACGCCATCATTCTTGGATGGAGCACTCCCCTCCGAGCAGCATCAGCCTGGAGGAAAGCAACTGCCCTACTCTCTGAACTCCCTCTTGCCCCACCGTGTGGAGCTTAGGCCCTGCTGAGGAGTCAGCTGTCTTGCCCAGGGCATAGAGGTCTGGGCAGACTCAAGGAGGTGTCAGTGAAGAATACTACATCTGACATCAAGAATACACTGGAAGGAATTAAAAGTAAGCTGTATGAAGCAGAGGATCTAATCAGTGACTTGGGAGACAAGGTAGAAAAAAACACCAAATCAAAGCAGCAAAAAGAATGAAAAAGAGGATAGTTTAAGAGACCTTTGGGACAACATGAAGCATAACAACATCTGCATCATAGGGGTGCCTGAAGGAGAAGAGGGAGCAAGGGATCGAGAACCTATATGAAGAGCTAATGACCAAAAACTTCCCTAACATGATGAAGGAAAAAGACATACAAGTCCAGGAAGCACAGAGAGTCCCAAACACGATGAACCAAAAGAGGCCTAAACAAAGACATATCATAATTAAAATGGCAAAGGTTAAAGACAAAGAGAGAATCTTAAAAGCAGCAAGAAAAAAGCAGTTTGTTACCAACAAGGGAGCTTCCATAAGACTCTCTCAGTTGATCTCTAAACAGAAACATTTCAGGCCAGAAGGGATTGGAATGAAATATTCAAAGGGATGAAAAGAAAGGACCTACAACCAAGACTACTTTACCAAGCAAGGCTATCATTTTAAATTGAAGGAGAAATAAAGAGATTCACAGACAAGAAAAAGCTAAAGGAGTTTGTTACTATCAAACCAGTATTATGAGAAATGTTAAAGGGACTACTTTAAGAAGTAGAAGAAGAAGGAGGAAAAAACACACAAAAGAACATAGTTAAAAGAATAAAATGGCAATCAACACATATCTATTGATAATCACTTTAAATGTAAATGACTTAAATGCTCCAATCAAAAGACACAGGGTAGCTGAATGGATAAGAAAGCAAGACCCATATACATGCTGTCTATAAGAGACTCACCTCAGAATGAAAGATACACACAGACTAAAAGTAAAGGGATGGAAAAAGGTATTTCATGCAAATGGAAATGGAAAAAAAAGCTGGGGTAGCAACAATATATCTGTCAAAATAAACTTTAAAACAAAGGCCATAGTAAGAGACAAAAAAGGACACTACATAATGACAAAAGGAGCAGTCCAACAAGAGGATATAATTCTTGTAAACATTTATGTACCCAACATAGGAGCACCTAAATTTTATTTTTTTTAATCCTCACCTGAGAACATTTTTTCCATTTCTTTTCAGGAGCGTGGGGGGGGAGAGAAACATTGATGTAGGGAGACACAATGACTGGTTGCCTCCTGCACACACCCTGACTGGGGCTGGGGATCCAGCCTGCAACTGAGGTACATGCCCTTGGTTGGAATCAAATTTGGGACCCTTCAGTCCGTGGGCCAAATGCTATAACTACTGAGCCAAAGTGGCTAGGGCAGGAACACCTAAATTTCAAAAGCAAATTTTTATGAACATAAAAGGGCAGACTGACAGTAATACAATCATAGTAGAAAGCTTTAACACCCCATTGATATCAATGGATAGATCTTCTAGACAGAAAATCAACAAGGAAAGTGACGCCTTAAATGACATACTAGACCAGATGGATTTAACTGATATCTTCAGAGCATTTCACCCCAAAGCAGCAGAATATACATTCTTTTCAAGTGCACATAGAATATTTTCTAGGATAAACCACATTAGGACACAAAACAAGTCTCAATAAATTTAAGAACTCTGAATCATGTCAAGCATCTTCTCTGATCATAATAGTTTGAAACTAGAAATCAACCACAGGGAAAAAACTGAAAAACACACAAAGACTGGAGGCTAAATAACATTACTAAACAATGAATGGATTAACAATGAGATCAAGGAAGAAACCAAAATATACCTTGAAACAAATGAAAATGAGTACACAACAACTCAAAATCTATGGGACACAGCAAAGGCAGTCATAAAAGGGAAATTCACAGAATTACAGGCTTACCTCAAGAAACAAGAAAAATCTCAAATAAACAATCTAACTTTACACTTAAAGGAACTGGAAAAAACAACAACAAATAAATCTTAAAGTGAGTAGAGGGAAGGAAATAAGAAGGATCAGTGCAGAAATAAACAAAATAGAGTCTAAAAAAAAAACAATACAAAAGATCAATAAAACCAAGAGCTGGTTCTTTGAAAACATAAACACAACTGAGAAACCTTTAACCAGACCAACCAAGAAAAAAAGAAGACCCAAATAAATGAAATCAGAAATGAAAGAGAAGTAACAATTGACACCAAAAAAATACAAAGAATTGTAAGAAAATATTATGAACGATTATATGCCAACAAATTGGACAGTCT